TGATGATAAATAAATTGGTAGAAAGGTAAAATCCTGATATAGACAATCATGAACACAAATTTGAATAAATAGTAAATACAAATTTGTTTTGCATTGTTTAGCAAATTGTATACCTGTACAGAAAGAAACCAGATGCAATCTTATGGAAATGAAGCAGCATCTTCTTCAATAAGCAACCTGCGACAAACAATAAGAACGTGAATTTTATTGGAACGTAAAATTAGATTTAAAAAAGACCGAATAATATTAGCCTTCGTTCCACATTGCTCGAGTATGAACCGAGTTCAACTCTTTCATCGCCAACTTGTTCTTTACTTAATGATACACAAATCATTTACTATTTGCTTTATTGCATCATTTTAGGTTGCCAACATTCATACAAACTAGTACATATATATATATATATATATATACACACACACACACACACACATAATTGCGAAATGGTCCTCAAGGCGATATGCATTTCATCCCAAAGCATCTTAGAGCACTATTTCCGGATTTCCTTTTCCATAGAAACTCGAAGGGCTTATAACATCTCCCAAAACTATCATGATAGTGCCGTTTTACCTTGTCGTTCAGTGGGGCAAAAACATCTTTGACAGCCTCGAAAACTTCTTCAACGGGTTTCGTAGCATCGATCTAAATTAAATCAGACACATATATATAAATCAATTGTGTCATATCGAGTTTCTTTTGGTGGGATCGAATAAAGGAAAAAATGAAATGGTGATGAATGTATTAATTACCTTTCTAACCTTCCCTTTAGAATTGTAATATTCGATTACGGGGAGGCTTGATTCTATATAGGTCCTAAATCTCTTCCTTATTGTCTCCATGTTATCGTCTTCTCTACCCTTGGAGCACAAAAAAAACATAAAAGGTAGAGTTAAATTAAAGTCGGATTTAAATAACGAAAGAAAATTATGGTGGATAGGTTATATAACCTGGTTTCTATTTAATATGCGCTTCTGCATTTCCTCCTCTGAACAATCGAAGAAAAGTACAAATTCTGGCTCGATTCCGATCTGCAAAGCAGAAAGCCGAGACTTAGAACATGAAATGAAAAATGTTTTATCAGAAATAATTGGGGTGGAAATCGGACTGATGGATCGAAATTAGCACTTCCGGAGAAATACCATTTTTTTTACGGAGGTGAAAAACTAATTCCAATTTCTTTCCAGAAAAAAATGGGAAAATTCCAGAAATCGGAATTTTGAAAATTGGAATGAAAACATTTGTTCCAAAATCGGATATTTTCGGATCGAAATCTGCGGAATTTGGAATATCCATTTTTTTAGTCTCCTATAATATAAAATGCATAATAATATGTTATAAGTGTGTGTGTGTGTGTTTGTGTGTGTGTGTGTGTGTGTGTGTGTGAGAGAGAGAGAGAGAGAGAGAGAGAGAGAGAGAGAGAGAGAGAGAGAGAGAGAGAGAGAGAGACAACGTACAACAGACTCAAAAGCTGCACGATTCTCCTGAGCTGCACGATTCTCCTGATTACGAGGGAAACCGTCGATAAGAAACTTGTCGTTTGCACTTTGCTCCATAGCTCGTTGGAGAAGCTTAACAGTAACTTCCGAAGGTACAATTCTTCCCTCCTTAATCACGTTCTTAATCATCGCCCTACATCCAACAAGCACATATAAGAAAACTGAACCATTTTTATTCAATAAAATTGCGATAATCGAAAAATAACACTATATCCCCCAAAGAGACTTGATTAGAAACCAATCGTATCGCATAAACGAGGAAAAAAAACATTTATATTATTTTGAAAAGGTTGTATGTACGCACCCATTTTCGGAACCAGAATTTTGCTCGGCTCGAAGAAGATCCCCGGCACTAAGATGAGTGTAACCAAAATGCTTTACAATATTCGCACACTGAGTGCCCTTACCACTGCCGGGCCCGCCTGCTCAAGTTCAGATCAATAGGGAGACACGGACAGTAGAAAGATGACGATGGCATGTTTGAAATAATCGAAACTCTTATTTAGGAAAGTAGAGCAACTCACCCAAAACAAAAACAACCGTCACCTTCTTATTGATGTGTGCGCTTTCAGTTGCTTCCTGCACCAAAATTAACTTAAACTACAAATCACTTTCGAAATCGAACATATGATCTTTGCTCATGCAATAACTTTGAGGTTGACAACAATAGATGTTCAAGTCAAATCTTAAGGTCGGACAGCACCTCAATGAGAGCAATTATTGTCACACAAACCACATGGAAATAATATTTTCACAAAAAAAAAATTTAATAATAATAATAATAATAATAATAATAATAATAATAATAATAATAATGGTAAACAATAGATTATGCCAAGCCTAAAAAAATATACAAGAAGGATCGATCATGGTTTCTGAATGTCGTTAACTTGGCTAAAAAGATACGGTATATTGTGTTACGATGCATGTGGCAGAACAAAGCATTCCTACCATGGGCGTAGAATTTTAGGAATTTTCTCTTGTATGAGTCGCAATAACCGAATTATGAGTTTGAATTATGGTTAAAACCAAAAAATCAGCAAAAACAGATGGATAAAATACGTCGGAAAGTTACCTTGTTTGCAGCATCAACAACAGACCCCATGATTGCCTACTATAGTTAATTCAGACAAAGTATCTGCATGCAAGGACATATAAACAACGGTACCTAGAAGTTAGATGCATGTCTTTAGTTTAGAAAACGAAAAAAATCGATAAAGAAAAAACATCATAGAAAACAGACTCGAACTCATGACAAGTCCATTCTCTGGATGAGGCTACTCGTTTTCACCAACTATGAGAATAATTTATCAAAATAAAAGCTCGAATCAAGTATAAAGTTAGATTCTACGAAGGGCAAAGTTAGGTTCAGTGACTTGGCATTTCAAACACATCCTACAAAATTCAGACCACAACACATCCATCAATTAAAAGGTAAATTACGGGCCACCCTCAGAGGTAAGATTAAATTACGGAAAAAAAGCCCTCACGTTTGGGTATTTACAACCACCCCTTAACTACGAATCTTCTTACAAGTCCACCCTTGCGTTGTCAAATTTAGTAAAATCTTCTAGATTATGTGGAATATTCTCAAATTTGTACCCGTTTTACCCCATTCGAGCTCCACATTTTGAATCAAGATGATCATAAGATGTGTCTCTTGGCTTGTACATATCAGATCAGAAACAACATTTTTGCTCAAAACGTGTACAAACTAGAGAACCACATAATCTATAAGATTCAGTTGAATTTGACACCATAAGGGTAGGCGTGTAAGAAAATTCATACGCTAAACAAGAGGGTTTTTTTCGTAATTTGACCCTACCTCATGGGGGGTGGCCGTAATCTACCCATCAATTAAAACGAAGTAATTAAACATCACACCAATTACTATGAAGCAGTTGCAGTACTTTCAGCACTATAAATATATACTAAGAGCAAGATATTCAATTCTTTCAAAAAACAAAAGCGAATACACAGAAAATAAAACAATCACCAGATCACTGTAAATTAACAGCTGTAAGAACAAAATTCCTAAATTTTATGAGCATATATATGGGTAGTTAACCTACTTCAGAAACAAGCAAATATATGGACGAAAATCACCAGAATATCTCAATTCAAAACGTGAGAAAAAACAAACAGAAATTGAATACCTAATTCTGGTGAAGAAATGCAGAAAACATAAAAAGAGAGGGAAACTTGTGGAGATCCGATAACGCGACAAAGGCTAAAATACTTATAGAGAGAGAGAGAGAGTCGAATGTTCAAAACAAGAATTATTATTGATTGAAATTATTAAATTTATGAAAAATCCCCTGAACTTAGGCTGAATAATGATAAATACCCCTACTATTTCTAACTAATAAACACCCCCTGAGGTGTGGTTCCGTCTTACCCCAATCCCTTACAGTGTGACTTTTCACGGATTTTTTTATTCCAGAGAATAGACATTACACAATTTCAGATATTTTCTTTTATTTCTCACCTATTTAACAAAAGATATAATAGACTGTACACATTTTATGTTAAAAAACTCGATCAACAGTTAATCAGAGGAGATTTTGATTACTACGGATAGGTAGAGATGTTTTTCGTTATTTAACCTAAGTTTAGGGGGGTTTTTGTAATTTACCCTTAATAGTATGGATTGGTTATCACCAACTCGCGTATAGTAAATAGTGCATCACGCCTCACATTAATTACTCCAAGTAAGTGACGTTATATCACATACGTCGAGTGAAATCAGACAGATCGGATCGTAGTTAGCACTTTCGGAAGAAAAAAAAAATATTGGCAATGAAAAACTAATTCCATTTTTGGTTCCAAGAAAAAAAAATTCAAGAAAATCGAATCAAAATTCCAAAACATGAAATCAATAAACTTGTTCCAAAATTGGAATTTTTTTCTTCATATTGCAACCGGCAGAAATAAAAAAAAAATTATTCCTTTACTCATATATAATATAAAATACATCATAAAATTAATATTATAAATGTAATTTTTGAAAAATTATTTGACATATTCAAAAGTTAAAATTGTTCGAAAGTTGAAATATCATATGTATTCCAGCTACGATCTAAAAATGGTTCAAAAAATGGGAATTGAATTTTGGTGTTGGAAATGAAAAATATTGTTTTAAAATCATAAATTTTCTGATCGAATCGACAAAAAAATGGATAATTTCTTTCCAATTTTCACTCTAACCACATGTAAATTCACTTTTTATTTAACTAATTAAATGACCAAGACCTAAAACTAATTAAAACTTGGCAAAGGACGACATTGATAAAATAAAACTAATAGTAATAAATTTGTAGCCAAAATAAAACCTCAGGGCTACTTCGCAATTTTCCGTAAATGCTTGTACCGTGCTAAATTGTACGCTACAAAAACCAACAATCCGACACAGTATCAGCTCACTACGTGCTTGTTAGGTGTTCGACGAAATGCCTCAACGGCAATAAAACCAATTTCCACTCCAAAGAGAAGAAAGAAGAAGAAGAAGAATTCTGTTCGATCATGGAAGAGCGCTCTTCTACAAATAGCCCACGAAGCATCTTCAAATTCTTCAAGAACCGGCCGACAAATGCGTCCGACAATCAGCCTTCTTCTCCGACGAGATTCCGGCCAAAAAAATATGAAGTTTATGGCTTTATCGGATCCATCACAGTCGTGGTTGTCACAGGTTCGATTCATACGTACAATACTATATTAAAGCTGAGTTGCTGCAATAATTTCAGTTCGTTGATGTTTGCAATTGCATATTGTATTTTTCCCCCAAATTCTTAATTTAGGGTTTAGACTTAAATCAATAATGAGTATGATCTGAGCTTCTTAAGTTCATTTTAGTATCTAATTTGGGAGGGAATAGGGATAATGAAGTGAGGTGATACAGTAGAACATCGATGATTAAATAATACCGTCGACTTGGTCCCGACTTAGTAAAAACCTACTAAATTATTAGTTCGATAATTTAATATTTCACTAAATTAATAGAATTTTGCTAGTCTCGACTATATTAATTTATAGAAGTTTAACGTATTTGGTTCATATTGTACAATTTCAGCCAAATTGTGAAATTGTAGAATTTGTTTATTATTTAGGGCAAATTACGGCCAACCCTTGAAGTAAAATCAAATTAAAAAAAAAAACCCTTTTGTTTTGGTAATTACAACCACCCTCGACTATGTATTGTCTTAAGAAAAAAACCCTCTTTCAGTTGATAAATTTGATACTATAAGAATGAACATCTATTGAAAATATACAGTTGAGAGGGTGATTGTAATTATCCAAACATGAGGGGGTTTTCCGTAATTTGACCATACCTTAGGGGTGGCCGTAATTTGACCTATTAATGTAGTGTTAAGATAGATTCTGTTTTTATTTAGAGTTTAAGAGCTTACATTTTAAAGATAATAATACATAAAATGGGATTTAAAGACAACTTTTATTTATTTATTTATTATTGATGAACAGTGATTTCAATAATATGGGCATATGTTCGTAACCGTGGCTATTGGTTGGAGTTTGTGGGAATCTTTTACTACCAAAGCAGGTCAGTGAATTTAGAGCTTTATTCCAATTCTCTCACATATTATTCTGCACTCACGAATTTACTTTGTCCTACTAAATATCTTATTCTCTCACCCTTATCTCTTGTTAGAGAGAGAAACCAAAAGGAGCCATACAATGAAATGCAATTTAAGAGATTTTGTAAGCCTAAATTACGAACGTTATGTTTGGATAATTACAACTACCCTCTCGCTCACGAGGTAAGCCTAAATTACGAACATTATGTTTGGATAATTACAACTACCCTCTCAATTATGTATTGTTTTATGAAAAAACCCTATTTCAATAGGTAAATTTGATAACGTAAGGGTGGACGTGTGAGACAGCACATAGTTGGTGAGTGGTTGTAATTACCGGAACATGAAGGGGGTTTTCGTAATTTGAATATACCTAGGGGTGGCCGTAATTTGCGCTAAAATATTTGATTACAAGGTGAACAGATGTTGCCATAACAGTAAAACTTTGAGTTAAATTGCACACCCCCACATTGTATCATTTTGAATTTCTAAAAAGGTCTTGTCATATTTTTTGTGGCATAAACCCCCTCCCTGATGTGTGTTTTTTTTTTTACTTTTTTTTAGCTCAAAACCCTCTAACTAATGCATTTTTTAGGGTCTCTGTCTTTGATTTGTTTCTAATCGGCCCCTGAACTTTTAGTACTCGAACCAACTCCCGTTCTTGAATTAACAGTTGTGTAATTACGCATTTAGTATTAATCTTGTTACGTTTGCTGTTTTATTTTGCAGGTATTGGGCGTCATCTGTGCCGAGTTATGTAATGGCAGGAATTGTACTAGCAATTGGAATATATACAGGGCTGAGCTTTCTAGCTACTCCTCCTCCTACCTCCTTGAAGTCGATGTTTGGTACCTTATTTTATTTTCCCTCTTTCCAGCTTTTAATCGAAAGTTAGATGCTTAATAATCGAGACCAAAATTGTTGAAAATAACAAAAAAAATAATCTAGCTTTTATACTTGTGCAGATGAATACAGTAACGAAGCACTGAGTTTTCTCCTTCCAGAAAACGAAGACGATGAGCGCATCGAACCAATATCGGATATTAGCAATTATTGAAACATGTTAATGAAATATTCAATAATCCAACATGATATAACCTTGTTTTGGTTACTGTTTTTAATACCATAATCTCATTCTATAAGATATTCTGCAAAAACTTTGTGCTAAATACTACGACAAAACACACGAGTCTTCGATTTACAATGGATACAAAAGGTACAACGAATATTAGGGAGGAAAAAACTCACATCAAAGCCAAATAATGTAATGACAATAAATAGCACACAAGTAAATCCCTACAATACGAATAAGAATCAAGATTCGGCAAATAATAAATGCCACCGTGAACAATATAAACATACAATAGATCACTATAACAACATTACCGTATTATATCAAATTCATCGAGCCCATGAAACAGAGTCAACCTCATCCCTTGCTTTTTTGTACAGCTCAAGCCTCTTAGCACATTGTTGTCTCCTCTCCATCAATGCAGGATCTTCATCCAATAACTCCGAAAGCTGTTTACCCTGCAATTCATAAAATAAAATAAAATTAAATTAATGTTTATATGTTAATTATTTAAAGAATTAAAAAAAAAAAAAAAAGACTTCGAAAAATAGAGTGGGGTACCTCTCTCTTCCCAATTTGGGTATAAAAGTAATTAAGTAAATTCTGTTTGGCTTCCTTAACTTGACAGTACACAACTGCTTTGGGAACTGAGTTCTTGAGAGTTTCCGATACCATATGGACATAAGACGAAACATTCGAACCTATTCTTCTGAAGTGTCCCTCTGCATAACGGTCAATATTATTGGCGGCAGGTGCTGCTGAATTTTCCCGTGAGTTTTTATCCCGTGGGTTATTACCCCCAGGGTTTCCTACTGCTTTCTCGACTTCTTGCGGAAGTTTTCGGAAGAAATCGACGGTTAGATAAGATGATTCCATATCAACCAATCTGATAACCGTTTTCTTGCTCTCCTCGCGGAACTTTTCTAAAGATTCGTTTGCTGCTCCAGCTATAGTTGTTTGCAGAGTTGGAAACCGTTTCAATTCCTGCTTCACCAAATACATCATAATTATAAAATCACAACTCATGAGTCAAACTATTTTCCATATATATTTTTTTTAAAGAAATTGTTGACTCGCCTGACACTCGCCAATTGACTTTCTGACGAGTTCCTTTAAGACAAAGTGAACCTGAACAACATTTTTGTTGATCAGCGAAAGATGTTGCAAGAGAAAAAAAACATGGTATTCAGTATATGCAACTTACAGCATCAACAGAAGCTTCGGCGGGCCCCCTGAAATAATTTAACGAGCCCTCGATAAGGCGGCGATAACCCTGCTCAGGAGCTATCAAATGTGGTTGATAACCATCAGCTTCTGAAACAATCTTTTTCACATTCTGCATTGACAGATGGCGGTCAAATGGAAGTTTTCTTAAAGCAGCGGGCAGCTGATTGTCGAAAACTCCATATATACGATCACCTCCAGGTCGGCTGTAATAATATGCAGCTGGTCAGAATCTAGTATTGCTAATAGAAACAAAGAAAAATCGAAGACTCTTATTTGACTAGGGCGAGAAATGTATCTCAGTGCCATAGAAAGCAGTTTCAGTTCCGATTATGAAAACAAGGGAGACTACAGCTACAGGAATTAACAGAATCTTATCTCAGAAAATCTGGATAAGTAAGCACTACCAACAAATTGAGCGTGACCGATGATGGTTGGCATTATTTCAGAAAATGGAAAACAAAACGAAACTTAGGGTTTAATTAAAAAAATTGATAGTTGTTGCAAATTTGACTACCGGGCTCGTTAGCGACCTACTAACGGAGATGAGGTATAAAAAAAATCAATTGTGGTCCAAATATTGCAAATGGTAATTATTAAATGCAAATGTGATATCCGAGGAACATAAATCGAAAAACATATTAATAAATAAATTATTAGAAGAAGCTCTCCAGACGTAAAGTATAACGGAGAGGAAGCAAGAAACATGCATACCCTCCATCCAGATGCTCCTTGAATATCTTGTCAAAAGCACGGCAAAGTTCCAAGATTGTGTACAATTGAGCCTGAAATACAAGACTTAAATTACCAAAATGATTGAAATACATCAAATCAAAATAGTCATGACGATGAAGGCAAGTATCTCACCCCAGCATCAACAGCGATAGGCCTTCCAAGGTGGTCCAGCTCAGATTCAAGTTCATCAATGCTTTTGTTAATCAATGAAGTGATACTTGGTATTCTTGCCCTGATTACAGATTCCAAGTGCTGGAAGAAAAAAGTTAAAACAATGTAAGCTGAAGCCACGGAGTAGTAAAAAAAGGACACGAATTGAAGTTGAGAAACAAAATTATACCCTAGAGAGCAGCTTTGCAAGATATTCAGAACCCATTTTACTGGACAAGTGCCCATAGTCTGCACTTGAAGCAAAATACTCCCGCTCCTTTCGCCTAGCAGATATCATATCAACACTCTTGTTGATATCTGCTTGTGAACGGTTTACAATACCCACCCACGGATGTTGTAAACGATACGATCTTCCTTCAAGAACCTATTGACAGTAGTGAAGAACTCAAATTAGTTAAAATGCTTCTTATGACAAGTCTGTAATTTTCTCTTTTGTCGTTATTAGTATTGTGTGTGTTTATGTGTGTGTGTGTGTGTTTGTGTGTGTGTGTGTTTGAGAGAGAGAGAGAGAGAGGGGGGGGGGGAGATTACATCCAGTGCATTAGTTCCTTTGTCCATCAGATCAAGTTTTGTCAGCACCCCAAATGTGCGTTCACCTGCATGAATACCACAACACAATCACAAGAGGATATATCAAGTTTGTCGAACAGCCAATTGAACATTTCACACTTTCAAAACTAGGGAAGGTTCTTACCTGATGGATCCACTTCCCTTGCAAGTTTAATAGCATCTGATGTAGCAATATCTTGGTTTGCTGGTGATATTGCCAGTATAATACAGTTTGGCTGCGTGTTAAAAAAAACGTAACAAGGAAGTCTAAGAACCATTCACAAAACTTAACATATTCTAGATCCTTGCAATTAGGATAATAACCCACCAAATGATTTTATCTTTACCTTAGCAACGTATGAGTTAACCATATTTTCGATGTCTTCGACTATACTATCTGGTTGCCCCTCTGCAAAAATTGAATTCCTTGCCATTGAATAACGTCCAAAATTAATTGAAAATAATACCCAGTTGTTGGAAAGAAAGCAAATAGAAACTCACCGACAGCAACTTTTGTCAAACCAGGAAGATCAATCAGAGTTAAGTTGACAACTGCACGAAAGAGATTATAATTTTTAAATATACAAACATATATATAAGGCAGTGAAAATCCCTTTAGTTGAACAAGAACATTTTTTAAAATGTATTTGGTTTAACAGGATTTACTATTTAGCTCCACAGTAACATACCATTGGGTGAATAGATACTTAGGTGGATTGGAATCGGAGAAATTTGTTTTGTCTTTCCCGTGATTCTATCAGTTTCATCTTGAATTTCCTTGCGAACCAAAGCTGCAGTAGAGAATAACACGCTTAAATATTTCATCAGTATAATTACCACCAGCTAAGATTTTGAAGTTGCCATTACCGAAAAAGGCACATGTAATGGTATACGAACATTTTCACAATCAAAACAAGCTATTTCATTGGGGTTCCTTCATAGAATTTAGTTATTGATCACCATACACGATACTCCGCTACTTCATTTTACAACAAAAAATCAATTCCCAGACATGTGAGGTCTTTTCATGAAAATATTTACACTACACGTAAATCAGTAAATTTCATATGAACAAATAGATAATCATAACTAAGTTTATAATTTTTTTAACTAATTTGAACGGTAACAACGAGAGAATTAATAAACTTTCAGAATTTTCATTCATTTTCTTTAGCACTAGAGTAACAAAGTTCACACATACCGAAATCAGTAAATCGTCTGCGAGGCATATGGCCAAACTCTGCATATTCCTGCTGCCCATCTTCTATCTTCTGCAATTGCAACACCAACGGCCGCCTCGTAACAATTCCTACATTCAACAGTCCAAAAACAACGAAAGCATCAAATAATGCACACCTCCAAATCAACTCAATCGTAAGTTCCAAAATGCAGGTCTCGCTGGCAAAATCAAATTGCATATATTAAAAGAACTAACCAGAGCCTCGAGGAAGAAAATCACGCCCTACTATACTCTCCAGAACCGACGACTTTCCCGAACTCTGTATCCACACCAAACCACAAAAAAAACAAAGGAAAAACATTAAAAAAAAAAATCAAATTAAACTTAAACTACAGCAGAACTTCCAATTCCATTTCCAATTTACCCTAACTACTAAAAATTCGCTATCCAATCTTACGCGGATCTGCCAGTTTCTTAAACAACAAACACGAATATCTACTTGCTGAGTATGTAATTGAACTAATTAACATAACTAAATAGAATTTCTGAAAAAACAACAGTAATAAAGACGGCAGACCTGGCCACCGACAACAGCTACGGAGGGGAGCGCGTCCCAAAGAGATGCAAAGGCTTGGTCGCCGCCGCCATGGTCGCCGAGGGCGGTGCAAGCTCTCTGTATTCTGTTCACCAGCCCAATCAAACTCTCCATCGTCGCCATTCTTCTTCCCCTTGTATATATATTCAAAAATAATTGAACAAACAACAAGCAGATCTGAATTGAGGAGCTTCGCGATTAAACTTCAGCTACCAAACCTCAAACAACGAATTCAATTTAGGAAGAAGATTAGAATTGAAGTAACAGAAAGTAGAGAGAGAGTCTAGAGAGAGAGAGAGAGAGGAATTTGGACTGATGTTTTTCAAAATGGTAAAGAAAATACTTGGAAAATGGGGGTTAGTACTGTAGACGGTGTGGTGTAATGCTTCGGTGGTCTCGGCTCCACGGGTCATATGGTGGGGCTGCATAAGACCGTTTATTTTTTTTACAAGTGTTGTACCTTTCCTCTTTTGAATTTTTCTAATTATTTATTATATGGTAACGTTTGGATTTTATTTTTTCAAATTTGAAAAGGAAAATGGTGAAGTGGGGTCTATTGAGTAAAATGTACCGTTAGTATGGAAATAAATATTTAAGAAAAAAAAAAAGAAAAAAAAATTCCTACATTTCAAATGATTCAAAATAGTTGCTTAAAACAAATCAAATTGTGATTAGGGTGTAAGAAAATTGAATCGATTTGAGTGCATGGTTAATCAAATTTGTTGGAATTTTTATCAAGTATTAAATTTTGCAATTGAGAGTTGCGTTTGAGTTTGATTTGATAAGTAATCGAGTCGAGCTCGAACGATCTTTAATCGAGCAGAACACGAATCAGACTCAAATGTTTGGTCTTACTTGCATATTTTGACATTTTTTTCTTTCTAATTGAGCTCAAGTTCGAGCTGGATTTGAGTCTTAGCTTGTGCACAAACCAGGTGTAGTATGTATGTATTGAATAAAATATGTTCATCAATTTACATATCTCAACGTGAATTAAATTTCGGACCCAGCTTAATTACGAGAATGTGCAGTAAAAAAGCTTCCCGTGTATATGGACCTAACTTAATTACGAAAATGTACAGTAATAAGCGTCCCGTGTGTTGTGGTCAATTAGAAAGCTCAAGAGAAGAAGAGTGGATTTGGGTGGAAAAGGAGCGTAGAGCACGAATTGAGGAAGACGACGTCGTTTCAGGACACCTGGCAAGGGCCAGAAACGACATCGTTCAACTTACTCACCTTAGTGGCTTATAGTGAGAACATAACAAAGTCTTAGAACATCAATTAAGCTGGCAAATCGTACGTGACAGAAACATTCGATCCGATAGAATCAAGCCTTACTGGATATGAAGTGCGATATTCATGTTTGTTCAAACGTAGACATACATACGCTTACGCGGTTAACATTTACAACTTTTACCACTTTGAGAAATCTCCACTGGATATATATATTGGTCGGAACAATTGATAAGTGAATTGGATAAATCATGGCAGCAGTATCTGAGCTCTATATTATTATTGCATCATACAACGTGTGAAACTAAGAGAGTTCCCGATCTTCAATCCTTCTTGTAAATCAGAGTTTGGTATTCAGGGCTCCACATATTGTTCGTTACGAAAGTTCTAATTTCGTCCTGCAATAAAAATGAGTACAATATTTACATCAGTGTTGAATGTTTACTCGAAATAAGAGTAAAGACTCCAAAAATTTATTGTAAAAATAAAACCAACACCCCAAATTTGAATGTTCACATAACTTCGTATACCTGATTAAGCTTCTGCAATTCACGGGCATCCATATCACGGTATCCTTCTGCCAGATCCTCTTCTATGGCTTCTTTAATGACTGCTGTAGCTACTTCCTTTGTTATATCACGTATTCTGTTTGCATGCGTCACATTTAGAAAAAATATTGGCGATTGAAGAAAGAAGAATGTTTTATTTCAAGGCACAGAAAAAGTTCCTTTAAAATACCTGGATATTGACGGATAAACAATCCCTTGAAGCACTTCTTCCTCGGTCATATATGCAGCAAGGCTGTACTTACAAAGAATTATAGTGAAAATCGGAGTTGAGAGTTGATGACCAAACAAAATTCACAAAAGCTTCCCAATATATCAGTTCCTTTATAGATTCGACTTATTTGAGAGAGCACAAAAGCCTATGTCTCGTGAGATTCGAAAATCAAATGAATTAATACTATATTTAAAAATCAATTCCATGAAGTACCATTCAGCTGCTGCCTGTAGCATTCCATCTGAAACGATCTTGGATCCAGATAGAAGTGTTCCAAGACCAATCCTGCAATTCGAGGGAAACATAATTAATTAAAAAGAAAGGACAAACGCTGAGCATTTCTTCCGTACGCGTGGAATAACATTTTAAGAATCTTACCCGGGAAACAGAAACATGTTGTTTGCCTGGTTGCAGTGGCCAACATGACCATTTCCTGCGCATTTTTGGTTGCGGTTAGAAAACAATATAAGTTTCAAGACAAGCAATTAAATAAACCCCTTATCAGCACTAAACCTATATGTGGATTTAATTGCATGTTGTGAAAGGAAACTAAAAGAAAATGAAAATAAAGTAAGTAGCACAAAACAAATTGCAAGAACGTACCAAGATCAACATGGCTAAATGGGCTTCCACTTCCGAATATGATGTTGTCACCGACTATGGAAAAAGCTTCCTCTGGTGTGCACTCAGCTAACAAAGTGCCACAGAATTTTCGTAATACAAGATTAGAGACTAGAGAAAGAAGTTCGCATAACATATATGTAATGAACATGTGTAGTACCATTTTTTGTAGGGTTAGACATCGCAAATATAGCAGGTCTGGTAGAAGTTGAACCTTTCAGAGCTTCTAATACCTGACAATTGGGAAGCAGTTTTATTCCATATAAAACTACAATTACTAATTTCTAATTTTCCTTGTCACAAACAACTAAGCTACGTTAAGTTAAAATACAGTGTTCTTACTCTGTTGAGATATGAAAAATGTTGCAAGATATAAAACCAGATATAACTTTAATTGCATACCTCTTTGGAAAACAATCCTCCCACAGCAGACAATCCGAGAAGCACATCAGGCTTTACTTGCCGTACCTGATTCGTATAACCAAAGAATCGTCATGCATAAAGATATGAGTAATCAACATTTTCGTTAGAGCCGTATAATCCTTTCAGACATATAGCAATAAAATCCAATCTTTATATACTGACCACTTCCACAAGCTTTGCCCCTTCCGACAGCCCTTGGCGTTCAATTTCTTTGACCTTCCTAGCAAATGGACGAGCATCTGGATCGATGTTTTCACGTGCTTCCGTCACAAGTCCCTGAATCAGATAAAATTTAACTTTTGGCATTCATAGGTGTTGAAGCATATTTTTAACGGATTCTCCCACTTCATATATCAAGTCAATTAATTACAAACAAATATAAAATTAAGCAAATTAAAAAAATAGACTAGTAGATTACTGACATTAGCATCAACAACCCAGAACTGACTCCCAGCACTTTCAAAAGCAATTTCAGTGTCTCCAAGCATTCTCGCCATGGTTTTTCTTGCAGCATTGAGAACACCTATCCCGGCACTGCATTCACAGTTTCAATGACTATTATGTTGGACAAGAGAAGGAACTAATAAGCAACTATAAATGATAGAGGAATACCTTCCAGCACCAGCAACTACAATCTTCATCTTCGGAAAGTCTATCATTGGTCTTCCTTGTGCTCTCACTGCTCCTAAAAGACCAGCGAGTGCAACCCCTGCAGTTCCCTGGTGGGTATTTTGGAATCAAACCACATGAATATCAATTACAAAGACCAGGAAACATCAATGACATTCAGAAATCATTTTCTCTTTATCGAATAAAAGTACGCAACTATATAGGACGATACCGGAAAAACTTGCAAGCCTCAGTTGGCATTTAATACACAACAAAATGTGCCTGATCTGCCCTAAAAGTTTAAGAGATTAATAGAATCCTACTTGTTTGAATTTAGTTATCATGAACATCTTTTTCACCAATTCTACTTATATTAAATTATTTGGAGGTATATAACAACAGATATAAGCCTCTCCTCGGAAGCTAAGTTTCAAGTCATGTCGCCGTAAGTAATATATGAATGTAAACTACATCTACCCAACCATAACATAACATCTTCAAAAGGTTAAAGAACTGCATCTTTTGCATCTCAATAATTTTTTTTACGAGTTACTGCTTTATGACACCATCTAAAATACTACAACCAAATTGACAACATAATCGTTCTTAGACATAGTATCCTCAATCCTCCAGATATTAAAGCAAAATCACCTGCAGATGAATTAATTACCTGGACATCATCATTGAACATTCTATATTCATTCCTGTGACGCTGCAAGAGCTTGAAGGCCCATTTGCTTTGAAAATCTTCAAACTGCACGGTGAGGTTTCTTTAAGTTACAATTGACTGGTAAGGCATGCTATATCAGAAGCTTATAACCAACTAGCAAGTCAAACAAGAACCTGGACAATCACATGAGGCCAGCGGGTAAAAACTGCCTCCATGAATTCATCAATAACTGCAAGATACTCGTCTCCATCAAGGCGGTGCTGTTGCAGTCCCAAATCTGCAAAAAAATGGCAATAAGTTCATTGATACGAATCTTACGAGCAAGGAAAACAATAGGACCTAGCAACCACTAAAATAATATAATTCCATTCAAGAAGGGCTTAATGTTTATTTGCAAATTGTACAAGTCATTATTAGATGAAGCCAGCTTCTTATACTTTCGATAAATCTGTAGTGACATGTTTGAATGCTGCACAAATTCAATAGAGAAATTTCCACCGATGAACCCATTCTGATTAAAGGCATACACATACTTATCAACATAACTACACAGTACTACTTCATCATACGATGTGAAAACCAAGGCATCCACAGGAAACATTTACAACATCGATAAAACAATTCTGGTAGAATTTAAATTGAGAGAATGTATAGCAACTACATCAATTTGTAAAATCCTGGGTAAACCTCAATGCGATAATGTCATGACAAAAACATAAAGAAGATATATAGAGAAGTAACAATTTTATTTTTCCTGCATAATCAAGATATTCATAAGACACTAACACAAGGGGTCTTCCAGAAGCTTCTCATTGTTGGTTCCGACATCAATCATGACAGGTAGTACCTATGAAGATAGATAAAATTTAACAGGGATTATCAGGAGATGTCTGAGAGAACAAAACCCACAAAATGGAATGACAGAGGTATCTGTTAACTACTGAGTATGCCCATCCATTTCCTGATTCGTTTTTGTGTCGAGTCGAATCATAATTGAATGACAGGACACGGCACTTCATTTTATGTATCTTTTTTGTGTATACTACAAAGCAAACTAATACACTAAGCACCATAAAGAAAACGAAAAGAAACTACAATGAGACTTCCACATTTTAGCTGTTTCAACCTCCAGCATAGACTGGAGTATGAAAATAAATATAATCAATCAAGAAATGAAATTAAATACTCTGTCAATATTTGAATCCTTTATACAGGGGAACTATCAAAGATTTACCAAAAACACTCACTGCCTTTTTCATATTTTCTTTTCAAGAAAATGCGAGGTTCAGGGACCCCAGTAACGCTTTAATGGTTTAGCTCCTTAAAAACATATCAAATAGAGAGTTACAAAATATATCATCCCTGTCCCCATTGGCTTTTCCTCAAGTTAGTTCATAAAACATTGGCGAATTTGGCAGCATGGTCAAATTCAACATTATGCAATGCAAAAGATATTCATGCAATTTTATTCTACGTGTAAAAAAGAACAAGATAGTACTTACTCTCTGTGGGTTTATCCCTGCAGCAGCAACATAAAGATCCAACTTCCCAATTGCAATTCCAATTCCTTGAACTCCAAGATCTCCAAGACCCAATATTCTGCCTCCATCCGTGACAACAATCATATCAACCTACATGGAGTAAAGAAATTATTGAAATATTTCAACATAAACTCTATATCTAATTGTAGTTGGGCATATTAGTATTTTGTTTCCAGTGGTTCTAATGGAATTATATGCAAATTTACATAGAATCAAGACTATGTATAACACATATCTTTAATTCAAAAACAGAGTAATAACTCTTCTCCTGTTCAACTCTGTAACGGATTCATGAGCCTCAGACCCAGTTATTATATAAATCTGCTACAAAGTAACACATGTTTATTCAACTTTGATTGGTGGAGAGCAAGAAGGAGAAACACCAAAAATATTACAAGTTACAACATAGCTATCCATCTTTGACTACCGAAACCAAGTAATTGCTCAAAGTCAATACATTATTAGATACTTCAGAATCCTGGATTGACATGGTAATATCAGTTGGAGTAAAAACACCTTAAGTCAGAAACATCAGCAAAAGCTAAGACCTTCCAAGTATGACAAACCTGATCTGCTGGCCAATTATAAACCATTGACATCATTTCTCCACGGTCTTCTGCACTGAAATACATCCCCCTAGGTCGCCTGAACAAGCCACTGTACTTTTGGCATACAAGACCAACAGTAGGAGTATAGACTATAGGTGCATATTCCTCAATATTGTCAATAAGAACCTGTTAACATCATATCAAAATGAAGAGAGAAAGAGATTATGCCAAGGGAGGGGGTCATAATCTAGTTGACAATCAACTAGAGTGTTCATATAAATTAAATAGGTCTTCACAAATCCACTGTATAAAGCCAAGAAAGTTACAAAACAATCCATTCATTTCTCAAAGAAGGTTACAAGATTCAAATATTACTTCTAAATTATGGTACAATCTCAATATTCTCAACTGGGACTTCCAATTTATGTTTTAGTTAACCTAGTAATTTTAATCATTACCTTCTAACATAAAGATAAACCTGGGCCTATTTCTTTAGGAGTAAAAGAATAGCTAAACAAGTATGAGTTCTTAAGCGTAATGGATAATGAAAAATGCTTGACCTTCAGATGCTTATGACACAAGGATAAACAAATGCATTTACAGGACCATCAATTTGGCTCTTGCACAAGTTCATGTGAATATCGGTTGCCGAATGGAAACGATAACAGTGTGGTGCCACTTATACTTGAAAGTGCTACAATGATAGTTACCATTGTAAATTAATAAATGCCATCTCACTGTCACTGTAGGAATGAAAAAATTAGTTTTCTAAAGAACAAAGTACGACTTGATTACTGACCTTATAGTACATAGTCTCGTTCCTATCATGCAAGCGGTTAAGAATGCGCCATTTAGCCAGACTGTATGGATCAGATGGTCCATCTCTAGCACTTAACTGAAGCCTCTTCAAGTCAGCCACTATAATTAGATCAAGACAGTAAAAATACAGATTAATGCAGGCAACTGAATCTCAAAAGTATATTCCATAAAATTGACGAGTGTCAGCACTCGAGCATTTCGTTTTGAGATATTCGACTAATTTAAGATAGAGCACTGAAGAAGTTTCATCTAACTCAAATTAAATGAATGACCCATCCTTCCGGTCCAACAAGATCTTTTTATATGGTAAGCAAGCTATCATCTTAGAAGTTAGACAAGACTAAAACAAACATTAATTGTTTTGCTGAAAAGACAACTGCTGCCCAAAGACACTATCATTCAAGACAACATTCAAACACATGATCAGAACACCAATAGATACTCGATAAAATAATAACCTCGATTAAATAATAGTTTCTCTCGGTCCTGACTCGGTGAAAACGTGTTAAATTATTAACTCTATAATTTTACAATTCGCTAAATTAATAGAATTTCCCTAGTCCCGCTGTATTAATTTATAGAGGTTTAACTGTACTTGGAATTAAATATATACTTAACCAACAGATATGATGCCATATCTCATATTGAGCACTGAAGAGTAACATAAAAATATCGGAAAGCTGGTGGCAGAAAACTTACTAAAGCGCACAATTTGCTGTTCAGGGCTCATGACATTTGGAGGCAGTAAACCTCGAAGGTCAAGACGATCACGTTCTGTCATCGAAAATGCAGTTCCCTATAATGGAACATAAAATGTGAACTAATCTTTTGAAATGTTGACTTACCTCATAAAAAGAGAAAAAATAAACAAAAGTGCCGAAAATACAATGTTGTTGACAGAAGAAATCTTAATTTGCCATGTGACGTTGGAATAAGGTTAAGTTGGCTTTATTTAATCGACAGTATAACTCTGATCCGATTAAATCCAAGAAAGTCATAATGCTTAACAGTATTTTCCGTGGACTATGAGAACAAACATGGAATCTGGATTAAGGATTATGCACAGTTACTTTACTTTTTACGTTAAAGCCGAAAAACTTTCTTGCCGATATTAATTAATCTAACGCACTTGCCGATGTTCAAATTATTTCCCTACTATACATTCATGTCCTCTTAATTTCACATGAAAATACCAACTAGTTTTGCTTTTCTTTCCAATATACGCACTAGCAGGCCACATACTTCACATTTCACAATAATCACTGAATTAAACTTGTGCACAAATACAAACAGCAACAACAAAATTAAGCAACTCCAAAAATAAACATTAAAAACAAGTCAGCTGTCGAATCTGCATCATCAAACCAAGTAATCAACATAATTCAGATCTCACAGATCAAAATCCGGTCAAAATTAACTGAAAAGCTTCGCGATCTCTTAATTTTTACCTTGTTGAACCATGGATCGTGGAGAATATCCAAGCTGCGCTTGTGAACTATGGTAGGCCGGTGGCCCTCCGTCGTGGTAAAAGATCTCGAGCCACTCACATTCACGGCGGCGACACTTCCCCGCTGCGATCGCAAACGCTTCAGCAAAGCTGACGAAAGCCTCATCTGACGAGAGAAATTCCCCATTGATTTCGCAGAGGAAGAGAAAAAAAAATATCCCAATTTACAGTCACACAGTTAAAACAGTGACGGAGTTTATCTCTCTCTATATATATATGGAAAGTCAGTTTTGGAAGGCGACGGGAAGTTTGAACAGTGACGCAAAACGGGAAATCATTTTTACTAATGCCAGGAATAGTACTGCTTTTGTAGTTGTACCTCATTCATAATTAGTTGTACCTTAGTTTGGTAATAGAGGTTCCGCGAAAGTTTTGTCGGTTAGCCATTATTGGAATTAAATGGAAAGTCGTGGTCGTTGTGTGGGGGGCGACGAGTCAACGGTTTTACGAATTGAGCAAATCAAAAGCGTGTTGTTGACGAATATGACCAAATTACAAAACGGGCTTTCGTTTCGGGCCCACTAAGAAGCCCAATTGTTTCATTTTGTTGGGCTTCATGATAATCAAGTGAATATTAGTAATATTCGTTTAAAGGCTCGTGTGATGGGGTGGAAATCAGACGGTCGGAATTATGATTTCTGAAAAAAATTAAATTGGAAATCGAAATTTCGAAGATTGGAAATGGGGCAAACTTATTCAAAAATCGGAAGTTTTTGGAATAAAATCAGTGAAAAATCAGAAATTTCAATTTTCATTCACATATACACTTAAACCTCTGCGGATTAATACAGTCGAACTAGCAAAATTCTATTAATTTAGTGAAATATTAAATTATCGAACTAATAATTTACTCCCTCCTTCCCTCAACAGTTGTCACTTTTGCCATTTTCTTATATTTCAAATTATTTATCATTTTACTATTCCAATGAATCATTAATTGCATTTTTTTTCAATTTTGCCCTTTCTCACTCATAATTAATTGAAATATAATTAGTTAAAAATCAATTAATGGCATGTGCAATTTACGGATTTGCTATATTTTTTGTTATTATCCATGCATATTTATTGAATTTCTTAATATGTGTGCAACTAACAAAAGTGACAACTATTAAGGGAAGGAGGGAATATTAAATTATTACTCAAGCGAGATTATTGATTTATCGATGTTCTACTGTACACAATACATAATGATACTTATATTATAAATGTAATTTTTGTAAAACAAAACAAATGGGAATTTTGCAAGTATTTTCCACGGTTAATATAGGAAATAAAAACAAAATTAATATATTCCAGTTTTGATCCAATATTAAGCTCGAAACGAGCTCAATTCAAGCTCGTAGAAGCTAACTTGAACTTCGAGCTAGCTCGACTTATTTACACACGTAATTTATTTGTGTGATTCAAATGACAATGGGTGATGATAATTATGTTTATCCTATGCTTTAGCATGTAATTAAAAACCCAATTATTGTGGGATTTAGTACCAATTACTCCCAAGTCCCAACATGAAAGGATGGAGTGTGACAAATAAAAAATTTATATCGTTTTAGAAAATCAAGGCAAAACATAAATTAGTTCCTAATTTCCTCGTCCTCCAATGTTTTTTTCAATCCCCATGTAATAGTAGTACTTTTGACTTGACTACTTCAATTTTCTTGCCATGGAAATTAATTTCCATTATTACATTTATTAATCATATTTGGAAAGCATGTTCATGCTATGCACCCTCAACTATGGTTGTTCATGGATTGGTTTTATCCGACAACCGACCGACTCATGTATAGATGGATCGAGTATAGTTTTTAATATGTTGAAAAGTCAGTTGGCTGATATTACTCGACCAACTGATTTTTTATTTATTTTTTTCAATTATTTTGTATTTTGCCTGACTATTCAATTTCAATACTTAAATTTTTTGACATTTTGGTGAAATAGACAAAAATACATAACCAAAAAAACCATACTCTTCATTTTCTCCATCTTCGGCTCTCGTCTATCTCTATCAACCATAGACGCTGATGTATCTCTCGTCCATCTCTATGCCCATTACCGTTGGCACGCTGTTGTTTCCTCCAATTATTTATCTCTAGCCCTCTCTAATTCTTTATAAACTCCAAGGTATGAGTTTTTTTGTTTCTCAAATTAAATTTTGGAATTTCAAGCATTTTGTGTTGTGAAAGTGTACATGAATGGCTGAAAGTGATTCGTTCTACTATTTTTACCGTTTATAGAATTTTAATTTGTAATATGTACAATTATTGAAACCAAGTTGCCACCCGACTCAAAATACTCGGGTTGATACTTGTTTTACATGTTTGCAAGAGTCGGTTAGGCTGATAATCCACTGATCCGACCCATTAACAACCCTACCCTCAAGATCATCGATCTCAAACTAAATGAAAATTGTGACAATAACGTAGTTAACACAAAAATATAGAGTCGTTAAATTAAATTTTGTGAGTTCAAAGTGAATTGAAATATAAGAAAGAATATTTGTAAATTGTAATGGGTATTTTCCCAATAAGATGGCCATAAAACAAAATGAATTAACAAAATTAATAAATTAATAACAATAAATAAATTTCATAGAACAGAGTGGCGGTCTTCTCCATATATTTGACAATGTCAAGACAATAAATGTCACATCCTACTGTTGATTTGGTTCCAATTATTTAAATGGTAGCTAATTCAATTTTCGATTTAAATATATTAATAAAAAATTATTCGAATTTGATTAAATTTTATATGTTTATTTATTTTATTTAATTGCTTAATACAAGTAACATCCATGGTGCTTGCCTCCAATGCTTGTCAATTGTTGTCATAAAATAAGTGGTCGATTTAACAAGTAACAACTTCTTCGCTCTTTAAAGTTGCTACACGATTTTAAAAAGTGAAAAATGATGTGATATTTTTTGAAATATATATGATATCTTTTATTTAGATCACCAAGAACTTAATTATAACGTGCGATATGAAATTTCGTTTGATAACGATTATGTGATGATTACGTACTCCCTTCGTTTCGAATTAATTTTCATCTTTCAGCTTTGTGAAAGTATTAAGAATGTCAATAAATATGTCTTGATTTTAGAAAAAAAATAATTACATTAGAAAATTTAAAATAACTTGATTGTTTAATGATGACATGGTAAAGAGAGTTTTATACTTCAAATTCAATTAATAAGGTTAAAACAGAAGAAAAAAATATGTATTTAATACATTATTAAAAATTTAATGTGACAGAATATTTGAAATAAAAATATTTTTAAAAAGATACAATTATTATAGAATGGAGGGAAGTGATTATATGAACATAAATTATATTAGGCCAACTATGTGTGACAGGTTCGACTTATCGATTGTTGGCAAATGAATTCGAACTTAGATCAATTGAAACTAATCTCACTTACTCCAACCGTTAGGTCATTCCTTGCGGAACGGAAAATTAGATGTTACACCTGATTATTTACACATGATAAGTGTGAACCATAGATTTACACATAATCACGCACACACCCATGTGTATGTGTGCTCTGCTCGAAGTTATTTAACCTCCTCTTTGATTAACACTCACCCGTTGTAGCATCTAACTCATACGGGACAATGTAGTCATTTTTTTTTGGGGAAATATGCAAAACCCCCCTCAAACCATAAATATTATGAGTTAAACCCATTTGACTTTTAAGACTTTTGCCCACACCCAAAGACCAATCTTAATTAGTGAAACCCCCCTCAACAACTTTAATAAGACGGAACTACCCTTATCAGTAGTTTTTAAAATAATTGCAATATTTATTTTCCATAACCGTCTCACGTAATTGTAGGATTACATTAATTCTCTCCATATATCTCTCTTTCATTCTCTCTCTATTTCTCACGCAACTTCTCTCTTTTTTTTTTTTTTTTTCTTCTTCAGCCCATAATCTTCCATCACTCGCCAATGGACACCACTCAGCCGCACACGGCGCCGGCGCCGGGTTTGATTCTCCTTCCGAAGAGCGAACGAAAAAAAAGGAGAAAAATCAAGTTTTTGAGATGCAACAGTTTTCGTGCAGAGGCCAGATCGGAAGATCTAACCATCGGATCGGGTTGATATTTTTACACATGATTCGTAACACATAAATATAACTTATGAACGGTGGAGATCGGAATCAGACTTCTCTGAATATAGATTGGATCTTAAAACTCGCTGCTGGTTTTTGTTACTGAATAATTCATGGCAGCTAGATTGGACGCGTTTTTTGTACAATTGAACCGGTGGATGTGGCCTAAATTTGGATAGAGTATTCAGAGTATATATTTTTATATACTGTACGGAGGAGATTGAATTTGGTGCCCCCTAGCTCCGGATATAAATTGTGAAAGTATCACAATTCGGTAGTCACATTGTAGTCACATTCTCATGTTTTTTTGTAGTGCTGCACATCATGTCGTCAACCTTGATGATTCTGTTAAAGTATGGAGGGTCGTTTGGGGTGAAGATATGCCAGGGTGATTTTGTGTATGAAGACCTCGCCCTCTGTCTCGTTATTTTTCTATCTTTATTTATGTATTTTTCGATTTTTTTTCCAGATCTGAACAGCAGTAGTAACATGACTATAGCCATATTCGAATATGACTATAGTCATATTTAATATATTTTTCGAATATGACTATTCAAGTTGACTTCTAATAACAAGATTCAAATTGTGATTTTTTGTGTGGATGTTGATTGAATTGTTTTCGTAAATAATAGGGAATCTTCGTTGTTTTATATGATTTGGTAAACATCACTATGCCATATAATCGGAACTTTTAAGTTCAAAATGTAAAAAACAACAATATAAAGAAAGAATATGACTACAGTTTATAGTCATATATAGTCATATTCAACCATAGTCATATTCGGCGTTGCAAACCTGTTGAGAGAAAAATTTCAATTTTTTGTTTAAAAAAAGTTTTAAAAAAAAATTAAAATGATATTTTTATTAAAAAATATTAAAATTAAAAATAAATTCAAAATGACTAAATAAAGTCCAAAAATAATATAAAAATAAAAAATAAAAATAATAAAATCCGATTATTTTTTTATTTTATTTTTTTGATTTCGTAGCAATTTTTTAGGAATTTGGAACAGATTTTTAGGAATTAAATTGTTATGGAAAGAGAGAAAAAAGGAATAATTGAGATAAATTAGGGAAAATATATAATTAAGCCTAATTAGCGGGATTAGGTGCCTCATTAATAGGGATTTCGAAATTACTGGATAATTATAAAAAAAAACGTGATACACTACTAGAGGGGTAAGATTGGAAATAAATATTCTAGGGGGTTTTCACAAAGAAAGAATTATTGTATGGACATATCACTAGTTTTTATCTAAATGAGGGGTGTATTGCTAATGACCCCTATTATTTTTACTTTTAACGTTACAAGTTCGAGGGTTATTTTTTTCTATAATTTTGTCGGCTCTAAATCTACGAGATATCAAAATCACATATTAATTAACACTAATTACTTCTTAATTGCTACTTATTATAAAGCCAAATTGGTACACCAACCTGTCCATCCATCATTATCTGGCAAAATTCGTATATTTTTTTCCAATTAAATCTGTCTTTTTATAAAACTTCAATTTGAATATTTACAATACTAACGCCTACCAGTCTACCTCATCCCTATTAATCTTGTTTTACTTCAAAATTTATTTGATAAGATGGTATGATTTAGGAAAAATAAATATTTAAAAGAGCATTATAATTTGGTATGAATTCATTAATTGAAATATAGAATAAAACGAAATAGAAAAGAATTGGGTATGAATTAAAATAGAAGAAATGGATAGTACACAAATCAAACCTAATTGAAGGGCTACAAAAAAATTATCGACCTTATTTTTGTTACAAGTCAACTTCTTCTAGATGAATTTAGGTAAAATAAATTAATTGTGTTTGTCACCTATAAATAATATTTTGGTGAAGGCTTCACTACTTTTACCTTTTACTTCTTCTCATTAACTTCTTCTAAAATAAATTTTGTATTTTAAGATGACAAATAGTTCGAATTCACTAACAATGCTTATCAAATATCGACTGCACAATGATAAGCAAAACACTTCATTGCTCGTGCATTAACAAATACATTTATGTGAATGAAATCAAATATTTATCGATGAGATTGACATGAAAATTATCGTAGAAAATCAAGGTGGACAAATCGATTTCTTAATTGACTAGTTAGGACTGTTTGGCCAAAGGTCGACTAGGCATAATTGCACATTAGCCCAATTATTCGATGTGTATTGAGTATTGTCCACCCTTACGTAATAGGCCAAAATCACAGTATATATTTACGTCTCTCGTATGGTTTACAAATTATTATACGAGAATGTAGGTTTACACATTGCACCTATATATAGTTGGCTACGTGTTCGTTCACTAACAAACACTTTAAAACAATATCTTGATAAACCAGTAATTTTATAAGCAAATCACATATGATATCAGATCTTAACAAATTGAATACAAGATATAATTTATAAAACCGATTATCTTTCTAATTAATCCAATTAATTAGAGGTTAATCAAATGTAGTTCATATGTAATCGAGTCCATGATGTATTAGGTAACCTTTACATGCATTGGATTGCTCCACGCCTTCACCTCATCATAAATTCATAATACCATTATTCAATATCTCAGCGTCTCGTTTTGTTGGGGAAACTAGTTATGATTAACTAAATAATCGGACTTTATTTGATATTTGATATCTCAATAATTTATCGAATCGACTCAAAAATATTATATTATCATGGTTTATCTTACCTTATAGCAATATTTTTTTTATTGGGTATTCCAAGATCCAATAGTACAATTGAGTTTCATTAGATTAGTTAATTTTATTCAGTTAAATTTTATCTTGAGAACCAAACGAGACCCAAATATATATTAATTTTCTGATTAAATTTTATATTAAATATAAATATATATATATATATATATATATATATATATATATATATATATATATATATATATAGATATATTAAAAGTCTTTGGGGGAACAGAGTTTCCCTCACAAGAATGTCGTACACTTATATACAGTACTCTCCTTCCTTCTTAAAAGCTCTTACCCCATTTTTCTTCTCCTTCTGTGCTTTCTTCTCTCTCTCTCTCTCTCTCTCTCTCTTTCTCTCTCTCTCTCTCTCTTCTTTCTCTCTCTAGAACTGTAAATAATCCAAATCAAATCTCTCTCTCTCTCACACACACACAAACACGCACTGAATGTGAAAAAACCGCCCCCTACCAGAGTAATGCCAGAATCAAAATTCTCCAACAAAAACACACACAATCGGTGAAAATATACAGCACAGTTACAGAAGGTGCGCATATACATACACGATTCTGAAATTCGGTCGGAGTAGATGAAGTGCAAGAGACACCCGGCCGATCTGAGTAACAGAGTCGGCGTCTGCGCCTCCTGCCTCCGGGAGCGCCTCTCCGCCATCATCGCCGCCCAGGTACTAAAGCAGGCCCACCATGAATGCCTCAAATCCGACGCGCAGAAGCCGCGGTCGCTTCCGTTCCCTAGGTCCGTGTCACCGTATATTTCTCGCCGGAAGTCGGACACCGCCGCCGCCACGTGGCAGATCCAGGGGCGTTTCTACAGCACCCCCCACGTGGGGCCCACTGGCTCGATCACGGTCGAAATTAAGAGCAGCTCGACCGGTAGTGGTGGTGTGGGTGGGAGATTCTCTTCTCTGATTTCCGGTCTGTTCAGATCGAAATCGGATAAGCCGGATTCAAACCACGGTCCGGTTCCCGATCCTAGGGTTACGGTCGATTCATGCTCGGCTAATCCTTCGTGGTTCTCCACCATTATCCGCGGCGGCCGGAAAAAGAAGATTCGGAACTTCTCGATCGACGAAAACCCTAGCGGAACGCAGCCGCGGCGGACTTGCCGGATTCGCGACAGGGGAATGTCGCCGGAAACCTACCCCCCCGACGACGACGAGCATTGCCACGGCGGATCAAGCGGATACTCGTCGGAGTCCTCCCCAGGGTGGAAGCAGACGCCGCGGAGGACGCCGGCGTCGACGCGGCGCGGCGGAGGTAGGGCGGCGGCGGCGGGGCACAGCAGCAACAACATATCGGCGTTCGCGTTCTGTTTGAGCCCCCTGGTTAGGGCCAGCCCGAACCGTCAGTGGAGTCAGAAGGGAGCGCCGCCGGAGATGGCGGTGGCCGGAGAATCTAGGGCTCCGGCGAAGCCGCACTTGTCCACAGCGGCGTCGTTTTGCAAGAACAGATCCCGTAAACTCGCCGATTTTGGGAGGTACAACTACGACCCGCCTACACATTGATTATTCATCCGCGCCTATTTTTTCACCCATGAAATTACCGTTTTACCCCCGCTCGGTCAATTTTTCTTCCTTGTATGTACACTTTCGTTTTACCTTTTTTTTTTAGTTACAAATAGGTAATTATTATTATTAAGAAAAAAAATATAAAATGTAATGTTTTTGTTTGTTGGGATTCATTCTTGATCGTAATACGATCAGTGAAGTTACGAAAAAGCCCCTCAATGTTGATCAGTGAAGTTACGAAAAAGCCCCTCAATGTTTTTTCTTTCGTATTGCGATGGAATGTGATGCATTTGGCTCCCCATTAGGCTTACACATTTGATTTAGTGCGTTTTCACAATTGATGAGTTAGTGAGTGAGTTGAGGTGGGTAAAATGTGTAAATGTAATGATGCCTAAAGCGTTGACTATTTAATGTGATCAAAAGTGAAATAATATGTGGCACCAACACACTAAAAAATGTCCCCAATTGGACAAGAATAATTCTTCTTTTAAATTTCACATCAAATATATGTTTAGAAGTAAAAATATATAAAAACTGAATTATATACAGTATAATCTTGATAAATAAATAATTTCACCTAAATAATAATTTATTACGCTCCCAATTTCAGTGACGGAGCCGGTATAGGCCATGAGGGTCATGACCCCCAATATTTCTCAAATTCTTATTATTTTATATAGAGATATAAAAACAATCGTGTATAATAGCACTAATGGCCCCTTTATATATTTCTTAATGCATCTGGTCCCTCGAACTCAGAATTCTGACTATGCGACTGCCCGACTCGATGAAAACGTATTGAACTACTAGTTCGATAACTGAATACTCGCTACATTATTAGAATTTTATTAGTCATGATTGTATTAATTTATATTCGATTTGACTGTATTCAAAAAAAGAGAAGACATGTCATGTATATATCTTAATAAAGATTTAAGATGGTGACTATTGAGTCTAAATATATAAGTTAAAAAAAGAAAAAAAGGAAAATGAGGTGGGAAATTTAATAAGGGGAAGAGGAGACTGTTGAAGAGTGTTATGTCACCATAGTAATGGGGAGCAGAGAGAGTTAAGTGGAGTATTGAATTCTTGAGACTGACTCAACAATGGCGGTTGTGTCACTCTTCTTTATTTTTAATCCAATATTTTATTTTAATTCTATAATAATATTTTTATATATAAAAAAATATCACTCTTGTTTGTTCTTATCATCTCTTAATATCGATTTATGTTTCACTATATATTATTAAAATATATATTTTTGTCTTGGATTTTATACATGTATATTTTCCCTTTTCCATATTTACAAATCAAAATAATATTTTATTGTTTTTTGGAAATTATTATTATTATTATTATTATTATTATTATTATTATTATTATTATTATTAGGATAAATTACACCTAAACTCCTGAGGTATGGTAATCACAATCACACCGCTGAAACAATTACTGGAGCCAATAATTCATGTATGGGGGACAAATATGTACTATATTTGTTTTCCGCGGGACCGTTAATGCAACCATAGACGAATATTTATAAATTTTATATACAATTATAAGTATTTAAGAAATATTATGAGAGTCATGTCAATGTTGTCTCCATCACTGCCTTAAATACTGAAATTAATAATCCGTTAAAACCCTAACTAATGTTTCAGGGATGTTATTGTAATTAGCAATACTACGGGGACCTTAAAGTTATTTTAGTATGTTCGAGGGGTGTAGGTGTAATTTACACTTATTATTATTGGGCTTTCGTGGGCCGTGGGGGACCAGACTTTAAATTCCGTCTACTAAGAGGGACCATACCCCAATTAAAAATATTTCCAACGGTAAGAAAGAGATGTGGGTCAACAAATCTAGGACCAAGGATGTCACCACGTATGAGCTTTCTTACTTTATTTCGTTAAATAAATAAAGCTAATAAAAAAAAAAGATTAAAGTTGAAAAATAAAATGAAAATAATAAAAGAATTGAGCAAGATCAGAAATTAGTAACACACGTAACTCTAACCCCCTAAAAAAATATTTTAATTTAACAATGTCAAAAATACATTATCTTTAAATTTTATTTCGATAAAGTCGCCTGTAAACAGCGTAAATATGTCGTGAACTATTTTTTATTCTATTTTTAGGTATAACAAGTGTGTAAAACATTTGAAGCTCAAATTAGTAACTAAATTATTGTTTTTCCCCTCAATTTTTTCGTGACTTATTATTGAGCATCGACGCTGAATATTAGACCCGCTCGCAATTATAAATGTTCA